GGACATTTTGACAATTATTTTTTATTTTTTATTTTAAGGTACAGTGTTTTGTCTGGATTATAAGAAGAACAAATATTTATTAAAGGAGAACATTTTAACAATATAATTTAAATCATTATCTCATAAAAGTTTATGTATGTGTCTGTCTTTAACCAGCAAAACAGTGATCTGATTGTTTAGTGTTTACTCTTAGGACCACCCAGACAGTGGCATAAGGAGGCTGGCATTCGGATCTGACCCTTTCTTCCCATGTCACCCCTGAGAGCTGATATGTCTTGTGCATGCATTGTGTACATTTATAACTGGTGAATTGGTCGACTGATTACCATATCTAGCATGTTCTTTTAAAGGCCCCCTTGAGTGTAACATGGGAAGTTTGGGATTCAGATTAGGTATATCAGCTAATCTTGAATATAGTATTACACATTGTATATGTCGTCAAATACTTATGTTCTCTAAATTAGAAATATGTAAAACATGTTATTATTGAGAATAAAAAAGTTGAGAAACCCGCATATTGAGTGAAACGAAGGATTTATTTCACATTAAGTTTTTGCTCTTTTAACAAGCCTAACCTGCTTTTCAAAGATTACACATACCTAAAATCTATCACCCATTTATTTGTGGCCCATATAATTAAAAGATTTCTTACCTGCTTGTATTAATATTCCACCCCCTAGTGTAATGAAAGATGAGCTAACAATAGCTGGTGATAACAGATAACAGAGGTCATGATCATGAAGGTTTTTCAAGGAAGGGTAAACCTAGTAGTGTGTTATTCTGACTTTTGTTGATATGTCCGGTACAACTATCTGCGTAATCTTCCTGAGATGATGAACGTATTCATCTTTGAAGAACTCCTTGGAGCTTTCATTTATACAAAAATTCAACTTGTTATACAATCTTGTACATTGTAAATATCTTTTATGATAAAGTTGTACTTATGTTCAGTTATATCTTTAGTCCAAAACCTGATATTGTTCCTTTTGTATCTTTTTTTTGGTAAAAGCTGATATATGATACACACACCTGTATTATATTCTACCTTTACAGATTGCATAGTATTGACACTAGGAAACGTTTAACAGCATCATTGGCCTACGTGAACAGAACCTTGTCTTACTAGTATCTGTCTTTATCAGATTTCAGTGACACATATATAACATCCTTTGCTTCTGTTAGAAATAAGATGTTAGTGAAATGGGTTCTATCATTACTAGAGCCAAGTACAACCAAGTAGTTAATGTACTGGACTGTGGACCCTGATGTTCCATGGTTTGTACCCTGTCGTCATGAAAAGAATCCAGCTCCATACTTTGGAGCTGAGGGTGCATTATAAGAGTGACAGTCAAACCCCACTAGTTTGTGTTGGGTAGTGTTGACTAGCTTACTTCCTTTTATTCTATCTTCTTGAAATGAGGGATTGTTAGTGCAGATAGCCCTTGAGTAGATTTTCATGTAATTCAGTGAAACAAACAAAACAGCTATCATTATTGAACAAGCAATTGGTTTTAAGCAGTATGATCAGTGGGATAAAAAAAAGGCATTGCACATATTAAAAACTACAAGATGAATTTAAAAACACAATAAGCATAGACCATTAACATTTTTCTTGGTTTTTTGCACTATAAGTAGATAAGAAACCTATTCAATAAATGCTCCTCTAACTGTAAGCGAGACAACTTCTCTGTTTTACCTCAACAATAGCCAGGAACGTTGAGAGCCAGCAT